GGCGACTAGCTGTTGGGCTCAGTCCATGATACAACTAGTCATTGTACATGAATGTTCTGCAGCAAGCTGACCCAACAGGCCGGGCTAGTAATTGCGAGGCTGAGATCGACAAGCGGTACATGCAGAAAGGGCAGTTTTGAACGTGTTCCACAAGCATGTGGGAGCTCATGAGCAACTTGCTGGCCTCCTCCTGAGCCTGCAATAGCCACAAGCTCCATCCTCTCCGCTACAGCTTCAGCTTGCTCGTCCACAAGGAGGCTGGCATGGCACCAGTGGCGGTGGCTGTGTCCTATGAGGAAATGTGGACAGGGGAAAGTTCACCCACGAGAGACAGGTGCGTTCGGGACCAAGGGAGGTGGCAGCAGTGGGTCGAGTGTGCAGATCTGTGGCAGGAAGAATGGAAGCCCATTGCCGTGGTTCATAACTCGTGATGGTCCCATAGGAAGCTTCGTGTGAGGAGGGAGCATATGCACCAGCACATATTTGACTCGAGATCCATTCGGGGTGGAATTCGTGGGGAGATTCCAGCAATTCCCCTGCTGCGCCGATGTCTCCATCACCAGGGGAATCTTTGCTAGGGCTGGATTTGCTGCAGAGCCCGCCACTGCCACAGATTTTGCAGCTGCAGCAACGGCTGGCTAATGTGGGGTCCGTCCTGGTTGGCAGACCTACGCTTCGCGTGCTGCTATTCACACCTTTTCTCAGCACTGTGATGACAGCTGAGCAGGGGCTGACGGCTGCTGAGAAAAAGAGGAGTTGAGGCTTTGCTAACCAAGTACACTTTTGCCCACATGGCTGAAGCACTGTGCACTTTAGCCCTGGCTGGGGAAGGAGACGGTGCATGGCGGTGACCATCATTGGCACAGCAGATACGAGGGAAATCTCTCCCGCCCATGTGAAATTTCACCAGTCCAGGCCGCAAATTAGAGTGGTGACCTCTTGGGTACCGGGGGTCTACTGTCGATCTCTGCTCATTAGTAGGGATGAGCAAGGTGGCGAACACCTGCTCATTAGTAGGGATGAGCAAGGTGGCGAACACCTGCTCGTGGCTCGTCCATTATAGACAAGCAGGCATTGCTTACACGGTTTTGGTATTTTACTGCTTCGGGTGAATCTTGCATTTCAGCTTTGGATTTGCTCGTCGAGATCGGTTTGATTTCAGCCAGTTGATACTCGGATTGCCAGCTTGTCTTAACTCAAGTGTCATCTTGGACCCGTGTTTCAAAAAAGGTGGAAGTAAAAGAATGAGCTCCAGCTATCTCAATTCAAGGTTTATATATATCCCACAGGACTCAAGGGCCATCTTGGTCTGCCAGACAACCAGCCTGGATTATCAAGCATATTCTTGCCCAGTTCGGGCCAGCTGAGTTCGACCAGTTTGTGGCCGGCTGGTGAAAGAATAAGTTCAACGGGCCGGCAAGCCGGGTCTCGGCTTGTCGGGCCAGCTCGATAACTCGGGGTCAGCTGGCAGAGCAGGATTGCTGGCTCTGCTTGACTCAGTTGTCAGCTCAGGCCTGTACTTGTCATTGAACGCAAAATTGAGCTCCCAGTTTGACACATTGCGGGATAATATGTGTCGGGTGTCTTGTGCCCTTGTCTGGCAGCAGTGGTGGGGTTTGTCATGGGCCACGGGATTGAAGCAGCCTGGTTTTCCAGGCATGTACCTTCTCACTGAGGACCAAAACGACTCAAGCAGTCTGACATCAGAACAGTTCAAGTAGTGCGGGCTGGCCGGTGAAAGTCAGGGCACCGTTTGACCTTTGATAAACCAGTTTGGCACAATCACAAGGGAACCTGCCCTTGGTCATGTTGTAGTGAAAGGCATAAATTTCAAGCATGAGTAGCCCATCTTTTGCGTCTTTGATGAGTCAATGTGCTATTAAATTGGTCTTCAATTTCCCTGTCCCCTAAAGGTTTTCCACATACTTGAGCACAGCCTCAAGCTGTATGTGAGGGGAGAGACGCATTGGATTGCGAGCATGAGCAGTCCATCTTCTGCGTATTTGATGCGTCAATGTGTTCATAAATTGGTCTTCAATTTTCCTCTTTAGGAGTCCCCTAAAGGTTTGCCACATACTGAGCACGGCCTTAAGTTGCGTGTGAGGGGAGAGAAGACGCACTGAGATGCGAGCATGGGTGGTCCATTTTTTGCATTTATGATGCATCAATGTTCTCTTAGATCCGTCTTTGCTTTCTCTCTTTGGAAAAGAAAACGCACAGAATGCAGGACATTCACAACAAAGTAGAGTTGAGCATGTGGCCCGACCCGACCCGATTTGGCCGGGCCATTCGGGCCCTCGGGTCGGGTCGGGTCGGGCCGGGTTCGGGCCAGATTCCTGAAACAGCTGGCCCGACCCGGGCCTAAGAACTCGGGTCAGAGGTTACCCGAGTTCGGGTCGGGTCGGGTCAGGATACCCGATTTCGCCCGTGCTCTGTGCAGATCGGCGCTTTCGTCCGCCGATATGCGCAGATCGGCGATTTCTCCCGCCGATCTGCGCGGATCGGCGATTTCTCCCGCCGATGTGCGCGGATCGGCGATTTCTCCCGCCGATCTGCGCGGATCGGCGGTTTCTCCCGCCGATCTGCGCGGATCGGCGATTTCTCCCGCCGATCTGCGCAGATCGGGGCTTTCGTCCGCCGATCTGCGCAGATCGATGAGTTGGTTGGCGTAACTCTGTCAATTTCGCTGGTCGATCTGGTGGAGATTGGGAGTTTCGCCGTGACACTCGTTTCCGACGAATGTGTTGGAACAAATATTTCCAACCAATTCGCCATTGCTCACCACTCCTTACCGCATTAAATCTACCATTCCCAACCCTCCCCCTCCAACCCTCCCCCTCCCACTCTTTACAAATCTCTCGACATCAAGCCTCTCCACAAAGTCGTCTTCTAACTTGTCGCATCATTCTTTGGCTGCAAACTAAGTAGTTATGGTTCCTAGGTTCCTTTGGTCGCTGGAGGAAGGATATTAGGTTTGCGGTAATGAATTGATGTCGAGGGGAAAAAAATACCCTTGAAATAGAATGTGCTAGGGTTTCGGGTCCCCCCTGTGTCGAAATAGGGTCGGGTCTGACCCTACCCGATTTCCCAAATCTTGACCCGATTTCAGGTCGGGTCAAAGCTGACCCGAAACCCGACCCGACTCGGCCTGAGTCTCATGCTTGGGTCGGGTTTTGGCCCGGGTCGGGTCGGGTCGGCCCGCACGGGGCAGGCAATTGAAACCGCTGACCCGACCGAGCGGGGCAAATGCTCATCTCTACAACAAAGGCAGCATCCTAGACCGCCATGGGTAGCTAACTGGGATCAGTATGGAAGAAGCCTCACCATCTACTTGGTATTGGGGTCTGCCGCCTACCTCTGCACATTAGCCTCATGATAGGGTCTTGCAATTTCCAAGCGACAAGACACATGGGAAAGGGATGTTCTGGCTGTTCCTCATGTTCAAATGGAAGTGAAATTCTACGAAATGAAGCTCGTAACGAAGGTCAAAGACCCAAAGCCACGATATATAGGCTCCCATCAGTTTGATCATACCCAAATAAAGTCATCAGACCAGCCATTCTCAAGCTGCCATCATCGTTGGTCAAATCTGAGCCATCCCTGAACTCTCCTTTTCGCTACAGAAAAAAAAAAACAGAATGTCTTGTCAACGCTGCTGGCCTACAGACTTTCCTTCACAAAATCAATTTGTTCAAATGCAAACAGTGAAGACATTATGCGATGGAGTATGCTGTTTTAAGCAATGTGCATGCACAGCTGTTTCAGGTCATAGTTGTATCCTGCTGTGCCTTTCCACCAACACAAACATAGTGTACTCTACATCCTTTTTTCCTGCTTCTAAATGTGTACACATTTGCATGCTTGCCATGAGGCACAAGTTGTCTTCATTTATTTCCACCCACAATATACTTTCCTTGCTTAACCATCAGAGATCTTAGCATCAACGCTCTGAGAGGGTCTATTCCATCCACCATCGGCAAAATGAGCAGCCTCGACGGATTGTGAGTATCGGCAAGGAATCCAGAAAGAGAGCCCTAACTGACCTTGCACAGATTCGTACATACAGGGGCCTCTGATGGTGTGATTTGAGCAACTTGTTTTGAGAACAAGCATACAAGCTATGCATGAGGAGGAGGGAGTCTGCACCAGCGCGAATGTGAATTGAGATCCACTGGGGATGGAAGGTGCCCTTGAACTGGTGGAGAGAGAATGCAGTCATTCCTCCTGTGTGACCACAGCGACCTGTCACTGTTGTGAGCTGGTCCATCTCGCCACTCACAGTGGTGAGGATTTGCTGCGAATCTCTCCACATTAGCCTCACTATATGGTCCCGAAATGTCCAGGCGGTAAGATACATGGGCAAGGTTATGAGGCCCCCTAACTGAGCCTCCAGAGTTCATTTTTATGGACATTGACAATAATATAAAGGGTTGATCAATCTGTCCATAGAACATCTAGTGTCAAAATGCTAACGTTTGATGGTGCACACATCATCTGACATTTCCATTGCAGTGTTGTAAGTGTAAACAATCTCACTGGCCAACTCCCTCCAACAATGGGCAATCTTACTCGTCTTTCAACCTTGTAAGGCATGCAGATTAAATTGTTGCAATGTCCATCATTGCTCGTTAAAGCGTATCACGAGGAGGAGCTATACAAAGGAGCCAATGTGTTTCGCTCGTATACCTGAGCTAGTACTGTTACAGCCATAAGTAGGAGGTATACAAGGTACCAAAGGTCGTGATGACTATCCCGGCTCAATCCGTTTCGGCACAACAACTGATGTTGGGTCGAGACCACGTTAAGCCATTCCCTATTGCCTAACATGCATGGAAACCAATATATGGTTTACTGGGTTTTTCTACGAATAAAACATCTTGGCAGAGTATAGCATTGTAATGTCTCACCAAACCTTCCCTTTAGAAATCTCAAAGAGTTTCGTTCAGAGCTGAAACCGGTTTCTGGTTCTTAGTTTGAGAACACCCCATGTGCACATGCAGGGACACATATTTTACGGCAATCGCATGCCCTCCTGAATACAGCAGCTGTGTGGTCAAACAGACCATTTCAAGTGCTTTCTGCCAGCAGTGTAGCTCTTTCTGCACCACCTGTGACAAGCCACAACCAGGTGAAATGCAATCACTTTATGCGGGTCGCTGCAAGTAATATTGCCTTTCTGACAACGCTCTCATTTGTGCTGAGTGCATGAACACTACACTGCCATCTACAGAACAAACTTCTGCGGTGTCACGCATCCACAACTTATACCGAAGAATACCAAAGAATACCTCGTGGCTTTTGCTGATTTGTTTTTTTTTTCAACCTTTCAGAGTGTTCGTTCGCTTTCTCTCCCACATCCCTTTTCATCGATCCCACCATTATTCCCACGTGTGATAGCCTTTTCCATTCACTATATCCATCTTCCTACTCCTTAAATGTACCTCCCATCACCAGTGCTAACACCCTCCCCATCGCCAGTGCCAACACCCTCCCCATCGCCAGTGCCCACAGCCTCCCCACCTCCTCCCTCACCAACTCCTAGTAAGCCTGCAGCATCTGCTACCCAGTCTGAAGTAGGGATGAGCAAGGTGGCGAACACCTGTTCGGTTCGCCTCGAACACGTTCGAGGCGAACCGAACAGGTTTTGTTTTTTAGCTCAAATCGTTCGCCGAACAGTGTTCGATGTTCGCCCGAACACGTTCGTGTTCGGGCCGCTGCTGAAATTTGCCCGCGACGAACACGAACAGTGTTCGAGGTTCGCCCGAACACGCCTCCACAGGCGAACAGCGAACACCTGTTTTTTCCTAAACTGTTCGCCGAACCGAACAGTGTTCGGTTCGGCAAAAGAGGGTGTTCGACAAGGGGCGAAGACGAACATGTTCGTGTTCGCCCTTTGCTCATCCCTAGTCTGAAGGCGGTTTATCCAACGGAGCCATTGCTGGCATTACTGTTGCTGGTGCTGTGGCTTTCCTAGTGCTGCTGCTGCTTATTTGGCTGATGTGCAAACGATACCACACCAGAGGGGCAACAGGAGGCACAGATGTGGACGGCAAAGATTTAAATGAAGAAAGTGCACTCCAAGGTAGGACCTTCAGTCTACGCTGCTCGAAATACAGCCTCCTCCCAGACCCTAAGTTCGCATCCACATTCAATTCCTCATCTTTTTCTTGTCTCCTTCACCACCTCTGACAGACTTGGAACCTGATCATTCCAACGCAGCATCCAAGGCAGAGAATAGGGACCCAGAAGGAGAAGCTGCTGCTGCAGCAGCTGCGGCTGTGGCTGCAGGAGCAGCGGAATGGGTGATGGAGAGAGACGTGGTGGTGGAGATGGAGGCAGTGCAGCCACATGTGTGCCAGAAGTTCACTCTGGAAGAACTCGCAAGCGCAACGGGAGATTGGGCAGAGGGGAACAGGATTGGTAGCGGCAGCTTTGGAGATGTGTACAAGGGCGTGTCAGTGCATGAACCCAATGAAATGTGGGCTGTGAAGCGATCCAGGGTCCTATCCAGTGACTTCCTTACTGAGGTACAAGATGGTGCTGATGAGTCTTCTGGCCTCATACCCTGAACACGTTGCAATGCTGTTATTGGACATTCTTTGAATGCCAACAAACACACAAACAGGGACACACACACATTCATCCAAACTCAAATGCACATTCAGGCGCGTTTACGCGCCCGCACACACACACACACACATGCACACATGTGCGCACACCCAGCAAGATGCACACATACACATACTCACACACACTTTGTCAAACACAGACACACACTTTCCCTCTTGCCCTCTTCCTTTTCGACTTTCCCCAATATCGCATGTGATGTATTTGGCACTTGGATTTTGCTGTTGAGTTTATTCAGACATCATTACAGTACCATTCTTGTACATGCATGCATACACCATTATAAACACATTCACTTCACTCTCTTCCTCTTGCCTACTCCCTTTTTGTTTTTCCTCTCCCATCTTGCAGGTGAAGGAGATGGCCAGTAAGCACCACCCCAACCTGGTGCGGCTGTTGGGCTTCTGTGTGCACTATGATTCCAGCACGGGCCAGATTGAGCAAGTGCTCGTGTATGAGTTCATGGCCAACCGGGACTTGGAGAGCTGGATTGGACCAGGTAATAAAACTTCACTTGTCTCTGATGGATGTCTTATTATACTCTTTGATAGCCATTATCTTGGAGTAGTTTCTGAGTGTGACGTGAGTGGCCCATGTGCCCTGCACTTGCCGTGCCGCATACCTTGTATCATGCCTTCCAAACCCTTTCTTCAGATCACAATGTCCATTCCTTAGGGACAAGCAATTCAATAACATTCCCATTGGAACCAATTCTTCCATTACCCCTTCCTAGGAGCTCCAAGTCATCTCTCTCTGTTGCAACGACTGGATGTTCTGATTGGAGTGGCCAAGGGGTTGCAATATCTTCATGACTTCGGCATTGTGCATCGCGACATCAAGCCAGCCAACATTCTGCTTGATGCAAAAATGCATGTACGTCTAACTATGTTTTCTCCTTGCATTTTGTTTGACAAGTCACCAACCTAACATTTTGTTTTTTCTTTTACTAGCATGTCTTGACATATTGAAAGCACTTGGTGCAATTGACTATCTTAATTTTGCGTACAAACTGTTGTTCAGGCCAAGATTGCAGACTTTGGTTTGGTAAAGCTCACTGGAGGCACCGCTATGGGCACGTCTGTGGCTGCCACTCGAGTAATGGGGACTCCGGGCTATGTGGACCCTGCCTATTACAAGTCCCACAAGGCCACTTCAGCAGCAGATGTGTACAGGTGAGCGGGTGAAGATATTTCTTTCGAGTTGAGTAAGAAACCAACTGTGGCTACCACTTGAGTGATTGGAACACTCCAGCAGCAAGTGTGAGCATAGAAATGTATTTTTCTTCCATTTGTGATGTGGGTAGGGCATAGAAATGCTCCTCTGAAATGTCTCACATTAATCTCCATTCTCCTGTCCCTCTTTCTGATTGGTCTTAACAGCTTTGGTGTGGTGATGCTGGTGGTCATCTCGGCACGCAAGGCCGTGCATATGAGCGAGACCAGCCAGATCAGTCTGAAGCAATGGGTGAGCACAGATGCTTGCTACAGACTTACTGTCTGAATATTTTATGCAAAAACTGCACAACTACTGCTCAATACTCCACTCATAAGTATGTAGTTCACTGAACAATCACGCATATGTCCACATGGCTCAACCCAACAGATCACACCATTCGTGGAGTCAGATACTGTTACAGTCTTCAATGACCCCTACTTGGACGCACCAGATGACTTGGTGCTGCGCTGGGCTCGCCTTGCCCTCTCCTGCACCACCATGCCTGCGGCCTCCCGCCCCTCCATGAATCAAGTGCTGGGGGAGCTGGTGAAGTTGAAGCAGGAAGCTTCTGGAGCACATGAGAGCCATGTGGGCGAGGCCAAATCTCGCTTGGACACGGAGCTTGGGAGTTCCATTGGCTCCTCCAGCTTCACTGCTGAAATGGCCCGTGCGGAGCGAGGGGACATGCCAAGTGGCTTTTCCACATAATCAAGTTTGTCTTCACGTGCACCTTGCTAGATTACCCAGAGCTTCTGGTTTGTGCCATACCAAAACATATGGTATATGGGGAAATATGGCCTGTTGAATAGATAAATGGAATGGATGCTGGTAGAATCTTTGGTGATCAGGTAAATGGAACGAGAAAATTGGCCTTCGTACATAAAAAGTGGGAGCTACAGCTTTGGCTTGTGCATGGGCACATATTTTGTGCTTATGACATATTTTGAATGTTGCATACATAATATTTGCCACTAGAATAGCTCTATTCATAACAAATATGGGTTTCTCAAATGGAAATCATAAGCCATTTTGTGGCAGCAACAAGCGTTCTACTCGTAATGAAGTACACTACATGATATAGCAACTCTTTCTCCATCCCACATATCTAACATGCAAACATCACATCCTCCCTCCAGGCAGTATCCACCTCTTTTCAGTGGGTTGTCATCTGTAACACGTGGGCAAGAAAGGGTTTGATTTGATCCCTTCATGGCGCTATCATTTGCAATGATATGTCAGATGCTGTAGGGCAAGAGCCGTATGGGAGGGATGAATCGGGGTTGGGAAGTGTGATATGACTTGTTAAGACGATGATGAGCAGTGCGCTGAGCAGATACTTCATGAACCCCATGGCTGACTCATCCACCCATGGCTGACTGACCAACCCATGGCAAACTGACTGACCCATGGCTAACTGACTGACCCATGGCTGACTGACTGACCCATGGCTGATTGACTGACCCATCGCTAACTGACTCACCCGGCTGACTGACTGAACCGTGACTGACTGACTGACCCATGGTTGACTCACTGACCCATGGCTGACTGACCGACCTGTGGCTGACTGACTGCCCCTGGCTGATTGACTGACCCATGGCTGATTGACTGACGCAAGGCTAATTGACTGACCCAAGGCTGATTGACTGACCCAAGGCTGATTGACTGACCCATGGCTGATTGACTGACCCATGGCTGATTGACTGACCCATGGCTGATTGACTGACCCATGGCTGATTGACTGACCCATGGCTGATTGACTGACCCAAGGCTGATTGACTGACCCAAGGCTGATTGACCCATGGCTGACCGACCGACCCATGGGATGACTGACCACAACCTGATGACTGCAACCGCCTTGTTGACAGGATCCTGTCCAAAACAAAACGCCGGACTTATCCACTCTGAGACGAAGCCCGATGCTGGAAGGAGTGGCTGCGCTTAAACCCCACTTGACGAGAAGAGCCATCAAGCTGAACCGCCTGCTCGGCCTTGCATACTGAAAGACGCCTTGAAGGAGGGCTTAAAACACGTCCGTGAGCTGCCCTTGTTGAAGCCATGCCTGTGCTCTCACCCCTTCTTGCCGTGAGCTGCCCTTGTTGAAGCCATGCCTGTGCTCTCACCCCTTCTTGCCGTGAGCTGCCCTTGTTGAAGCCATGCCTGTGCTCTCACCCCTTCTTGCCGTGAGCTGCCCTTGTTGAAGCCATGCCTGTGCTCTCACCCCTTCTTGCCGTGAGCTGCCCTTGTTGAAGCCATGCCTGTGCTCTCACCCCTTCTTGCCGTGAGCTGCCCTTGTTGAAGCCATGCCTGTGCTCTCACCCCTTCTTGCCGTGAGCTGCCCTTGTTGAAGCCATGCCTGTGCTCTCACCCCTTCTTGCCGTGAGCTGCCCTTGTTGAAGCCATGCCTGTGCTCTCACCCCCTCTTGCCGTGAGCTGCCCTTGTTGAAGCCATGCCTGTGCTCTCACCCCTTCTTGCCGTGAGCTGCCCTTGTTGAAGCCATGCCTGTGCTCTCACCCCTTCTTGCCGTGAGCTGCCCTTGTTGAAGCCATGCCTGTGCTCTCACCCCTTCTTGCCGTGAGCTGCCCTTGTTGAAGCCATGCCTGTGCTCTCACCCCCTCTTGCCGTGAGCTGCCCTTGTTGAAGCCATGCCTGTGCTCTCACCCCTTCTTGCCGTGAGCTGCCCTTGTTGAAGCCATGCCTGTGCTCTCACCCCTTCTTGCCGTGAGCTGCCCTTGTTGAAGCCATGCCTGTGCTCTCACCCCTTCTTGCCGTGAGCTGCCCTTGTTGAAGCCATGCCTGTGCCCTCACCCCTTCTTGCCGTGAGCTGCCCTTGTTGAAGCCATGCCTGTGCTCTCACCCCTTCTTGCCGTGAGCTGCCCTTGTTGAAGCCATGCCTGTGCTCTCACCCCTTCTTGCCATGAGCTGCCCTTGTTGAAGCCATGCCTGTGCTCTCACCCCTTCTTGCCGTGAGCTGCCCTTGTTGAAGCCATGCCTGTGCTCTCACCCCACCTTGCTGAAACCGTACCTACCCACCCATCTCACTATATGACTCTCCCAGCCTGACCACAACCATTCGTCTGTGGCTGACTGCTGCAAGGTGGCTGGCTGGCAGGGCGGGCTGGCTGACCAGAACCTTTTTTCTGCGGCTGGCTGCTGCAAGGGGGCTGTTTCATCAACTTGGCTTGTCAAGTACGTTTTCAGCGCAGCTGGCTTGTGAATTCGACCATCAATGCAGCAGCCTGGCCTTTTGTTTTTTATAAGGATCATGGCGGACATTCGGTCAGTTAGTCAGCCATGGGTCAGTCAATCAGCAATGAGTCAGTCAATCAGCCATAAGTCAGTCAGTCAGTCAGTCAGCCATTGATAAGTCATGGGTCAGTCAGGAGTCAGCCATAATCAGGTGGCCATGGGTCAGTCAGTCAGACATGCGTCAGTCAATCATACATGGGTCAGTCAGTCAGCCATGAGTCAGTCAGTCAGCCATAGGTCAATCAGTCAGGCATCGATCATTCAATCAGCCATGGGTCAGTCAGTCAGCCATGGGTCAGGCAGTCATGGGTCAATCCGTGAGGCATCGGTCGGTTTGTCATGTGTCAGTCAATCAGCAGCCATGGTTCAGTCAGTCAGCCATGGGTCAAACAGTCAGCCATAGATCAGTCAGTCATAAGTCAGTCAATCAGCCATGGTTCATTCAGTCAACCACTGGTTAGTCAGTCAGCGTCAGCCATGGGTCAGTCAGTCAGCCATGGTTCAGTCAGTCAGCTATGGGTCAGTCAGTCAGCGTCAGCCATAGGTCAGTCAGTCAGCATTCGGTCAGTCAGTCAGCCAGAAAATCAGCCAGTCATGGGTCAGTAAGTCAGCCATCGGTTAGTCAATCAGCCATGGGTCAGTCAGTCAGCCATTGGTAAGTCATGGGTCAGTCAGTCAGCCATAGATCCGTCAGTCATGGATCAGTCAGTCAGCCATGGGTCAGTCATTCAGCCACAGGTCAGTCAGTTAGTCATAAGTCAGTCAGTCAACCATGGGTCAGTCAGTCGTCAGCCATCGGTCAGTCAGTCATGGATCAGTCAGTCAGCCATGGGTCAGCCAGTCAGCCATTGGTAAGTCTGTCATGGGTCAGTCAGTCAGCCACGGGTCAGTCAGTCAGCCATTGGTAAGTCTGTCATGGGTCAGTCAGTCAGCCATGGGTCAGTCAGTCAGCCATCGGTCTCAGAGTTTGTGGCGGTGTCGCGGAGAGAGGCGCGGGGGCTGCTGCAGGCGCTCACGCAGCAGCTGGTGGCTCGCATGGAGGCTGTCGCTCGTGGGGCTCCACCTGGCGCTCCTCTATTACTGAATGGGGCAGCGGCGCTGCCTAGAGCAACAGCAGTACCTCGAGCAGTGACCACAGCAGCAGAAGCTGGGGCAGCGGCAGAAGGGGCGGCAGTAGGAGCTGGGGTAGCTACAGCTGGAGCAGGTTCGTTAGAGGACGCGGGACTAGCGGGAAGGGAATCACAGCAGCTGGTAGAGCCTGAGATTGAAGGAGGCTCTGGGAAAGACGAGCAGCTGTGTGGCACACCCTTAAAGGGGAGAACACCCGCGACGCCTGTAGAAGTGTTCTGTCCTCCACTGGAGTCCCTCACCCTCGATAGCATTCAGTTCGCCTCCACTTGCGACCTTACGCTCCCCACCAACAGCAGTACCAGTGTATTCTGTACCCAAAGCGGGTGCAGGTTTGGCATGGTTTGGCACAACACTGATCGGTGGGGCAGCAGGGGTGGACAAGGAAGCAGGGGTGGAAGGGGCAGCAGGGGTGGTAGGGGCAGCAGAGGTGGAAGGGGCAGCAGGGGAGACAGGGCAGTAGCACGGCTCCCCCAGCAGCATCTCTCGCAGACATGCCACCAAATTCACTCCCCCGGGCCACGCTTTCAAATAAGCCGCCTCCTCCCCCTCCTTGCCCGTCCCATCATCTTCTATTCTCCCTTGGTTTCTCCTGTTTCTCCCAGAGCTGTCGCTGCGGCTGCTGCTCCCACTGGCACCATCGGAAGGCCCACAATCATCCTGCATGTCTTCACAGAACCTGGGTATGGCAGCCCTTCTCCACAACTCATGCCCCTTAGCACTCGCAAACACCTCTCCCTCTTTCCATCCCAACTAGCTCGCCCCTTGCTGCCCTTGCACCTGTCTCTCATACCTCAGCCTCCAGCTTCATGCCGCCCTGCCATGCAAGCTCCACCGCTAGGCACCACATTTGCACCTCTTCCCACACCCTCCCATCATCTTCCTTTCCGTCTCGCAGCCTGTGTAGGAACTTCAGGTCCGTGATTCCGAGGACGGGGGCAGCCCAGTTTAGAGCCACAGTCAGCAGGAAGAGAACAGGAAGCTGTTCCATTCGAGCCTGCACCGCAGGCGATCTTAGATAGCCAGGCGCATTGGCAGCGAGAGGCACACCCATACAAGCAGCGAGTCATTCGAATTCGGGAGGGAGGGGAGAGAAGATGGATACAAAGCGGTTGAAAAGGGTGGTGACAGGTCGGTAGGCATAGTTAGTGATGAGCATGAGGAAGGGGATGGGACGGCTGTAGACCCCAAGGCACTCATTGCACTGCGCACAGGCAGGTGGCCTGACCAGAAACCCGGCAAAATCCACCACAAATTCGGCATCGGCAGTGCAGCGAACGATGGGGAATTTCCTCTGCACTAGCGGCAGCAGCGATGTGAGCAGCTTGCGTAG